TTCCAATAAGAACGAAATGTACTACCATTAATGTCTGACATTTTGGAATATTTGTATATGACCCGAAAGGAGATTTTTGTACAATATTTACAAGGTAGTACAGGGGTGTAAGTGGGTACAGAAATGCAACACTCAAGGCTCAAATTGAAGATTTTGTATGTTTTAGATGTAAAAAAAAACAGGTTAAAGGTCCTGCATTACGCAAAATAGGCTTTTGGGAGCTTTATGCCATGTTATAATGTTGTTACCTCCTCAAAAACATACACAACATAGTGTAATCGTTTATTAGTCTGTCTACACGTCCAAAGCTCAAAATGCTCTCTTCCACCTTGTGATGATATTTAGTGGTGTCTTCAAGGTAACAGCTACCGTTACCCTTTGTTTGGTAGAGATTGGCAATTCCAGGTGTGAAAATATCCAAACGATTCTAGCGAAGGTGTACAAAGATTAAAAACACAGTAGAGCACTTTCTGTTTTACTGCATCACAAGGTGGAACAGAGTGTTTTCTCAGCCTAAATATGCAGGTTGTCTGTGTTAAACATCACACAACTCCAGATATGTTTGTGATAAGGAAATGGCATTCTGAGCTCTTCGTGATCACAATGTTTCTTTGTACATTTTCCCCCATAAATAATTGTTTTTGATTGGTGTTGGGTGTAGTTCAGCTTGGACTAGTGAGAGCAGTTTGGGTCAGATACGTAGAGATACTTAATAGTTGACCTCAAATTTCATCAGTCGGTTACAGCCAAAACTAAAACATCAATCAACCAATTTATTTTTATTCTTACATGTATCTGTTTTAAGTATGTTGCCAGGGGTTCAAATAACAGTAAGATCTGAATACACAGTGAAGACCTGCATGCGTCAGTAAAAGTACAACTCTAACTAAGCTAATAGTGGAGGAACAATTACGAAATGGTCCAAAGCTCATAAAGTCTATTCTGCCTAATATGTCTGCTTCAAAAAGAACACTTTGAAAGAGACTTTGAAGCTTCTATAAAGAAATCTGAAATGACATTGTGGCTCTGACCAATCAAATCTACAAAGTACAGACAAAGCGATGCCCTGCTGTTGAGATTACACTACTTTTTTATATTTAAATTGGCCATTTGTTTATCATCTGTCTTAAGGTCAGCCAGGATCATGATCAGGGTGCTTTTATTCCCTTTTATGAACTATAATAGACCCCTGCATAGATTAAAGATTCATTTATTTCTCTCTAGATGTTAAGACGAGTACTCGAAAAGGTCATGGACTAGTGAATGGAGGAGTAGAGAATGCAGATCTGTTTCATTGCATAATTTATTGTCGACCAACAATTCCGACCTATAGAATGAGAAGTTGCCTATATTGAATCCGGTATAATTGCTACCCTTGACAACCATAGCTTATTCCATTCTGAAAGCGCATGTTTAAACCACTAATTCTGACTTTTCATTAAAATGGTCTTATTGTCGTCTCCGTGTAATCTTGCATGCAGAAATTGACTTTGCCTTAATGAATAATTTGAATATGAGTTAGGAGCGCTAATTTAGACATGCTGTTGTAGGTTTTTGTACTTCAAAGTATTTTCCTTCATTCACGCTTTGCTTTGTGTTTATGCTAGGATAAATCACCCACACCTCCAAGGAACACTGCTAAATTTGTAGCCTTCGGGGTGATACTTTTGGTAATTACTTAATAATTTAAAAACGCACTGGCACAAAGTAATTTTTAGCTGTTTACTATAGATGTACCACGTTCAAGCATGTTTTTACTTCGATTTCTTAATGAAAGTAGTACATTTAAGGCTGTGTGTAATAGTAATGAGTATTTAGCAACGTACTGAGGTTTGCTCCTTGCTAATTGGTTTCAGTTTATGTATTTTTATGAGCGCTTGCATCCAGAGCAATAAACAAACATGCAAATAGACCTGGGAGCTGAATTTTAATATTTCTGCCCTTAAGGCTTTGACGCTGCGTTCAATGACATCTCGAAACTCAACGCTCTTTTGCCGTGCAGTTGTTTACTCTTGTTGTTTGACTTGGATGGGGACTGTCAGAGCACAACCCGTAGCACTGGGGCGGAGGTAGGGAAGACAAGCTCTTAATCGCCTGCAATATTGAATTATTGAATTAAAAGCTTAAGTACTCGGGGTGAGCGTGTCAATTTTTCACAAGTGAATGCTACACTGCTCATTCCATTTTCATCTGAATACATCATTTGTGTATGTAAAATGCAAGAAGAATGGAGGTATTACGCAGATCGCTTTCATTGTCTGTAATTCCCTTTCAGTGTGACTGTAATCATTCGGAGAGACAAGTCATATTCATGCGCCAGGCTGCCAGTCCTTCATCTGCATTCAAAAACACTGCACTTTTTGTGTGGTGCTGCTGTACTGTAGTGTTAATTAAACAGGGCTTTTGCATCCAAGCTTGACACAAGTGTAACTGTTTTACATGTCTAATTGATGTGGTGTTAAAGGAACTGAACCTACGACTAGAATTTTCTGATACACTTGACACTGTGTTCACCTGTCTTGTCTCTTGTCTCGTCACCTGCCTCGTCTCTGTGTGTCAGGTGCCGTAAAAGGACACATCCCCATGTAAAATCCTGATGTTGTGTATGCGTTTGAATGGAATGAGTGGCTGTGACCCACGCAGCCTGCGCTGTCTCAAAGAGTATTTCAACTTATGCAGATGAGCTCATCAGAGCAGCCTGCTGAGATGAGACATCTAGGTCTGGAATTGTGTCAATACCGCCACCAAAACAAATGCAAATCAAAATCCAAATTAATGTGTTTTCCCTGAGGAAGAACTGCACGCGCATGGAGTCAGCTCTCTGTAGATGACAGCGTTCAGTTAGAGGCCTACAATAACAAAGAATAGGGCACAGAAGTCAGCCTCTCCAAATGGGGAAACTAAAGTAAGAAAAGCTTTAGTGTGATTGTTTCTGAGATGGCAAATACATATTAAGCAAATGTGTGGTTATGCTAAATGACACTGTGTCTTGCAAATAGGATGGAATTTTTTTCAGAACTCTATTACGCAGCGGTTGCAACATTTGTGCGTAAGTCTTGGGTTGGGATAAATAAACATTAAGGCGCTAAAATGATCTGCGCTCCTCTAATGTGTCTGCCCCGTGTCACTACACTGAATGAAAGCAAGCACAGCACATTTGGCTCTTTCTGACTCTTATTAGAAAAGAGGGCTGGTTGCAATGCTGTAAAATTCCCTATTTATTAAGTCCCCCTGCCACACAACCTTGGGAGAATGACAGTGAAATATATTTTTTTCCCTTTGCCTGTGTAACCTTGTAGCAGCATATTTCTGGCTTGTAATTTGGCAATGAACAACACAGCATCACGTTCATTAAAATTTCAAGAATTTTGTAGAAATAAATCACTTTTTGCGTCACTGATGGGAAGCATAAGTCAGATTGTCTTTTGTATTTTTTGAAGTGTCTCTTTGAAATCTTAAGTAGCGCCCGTTTACATTTCTGCTATTCAGTACAAGTGGGCCAAGAGATCACAACATTTTTATCTCTTATTCTCTAGCATTCAGTATTTTCTTTTCAGCTGATTTTCTAGTACTTTTCACACATAATATTTGTTTTGTATATTCAGGAATGCTTGATCCTGCCAAATTTGAATGTATTGATGACAGCAGTGCAGATTGATTAGGTACAATTTAGCATCTTTTCCCCACATATGCTGTATTTTTTGACTACAGAAATTCATATTCCACAACATCTGTCTTACTTGGAGGTGCTACAATTTTAAATCAGACTAAACTCTGCACTGGATGGGTATCTCAATTGTTTTTTTTATGTCAAGTCAGACTTTCCTGCACTACTACTTAGATCATTTCAGCTTGTTTCATCATAAAGTCTAAAATGGCCTTCTCCTGGGAAACTCCTGGCTACTCAGGCAGATAAAGAGATTGGTTGGAAAGCTTAAGCTGTTTTTAATTTGGGAATGCTATTTTTGGTGGCCATTAGCTGGACGAGTGCAAAGGGTGAAAAAGTTCACAGGTCACAGGGCAGGAACAATGAAGCGTGACAATGTTAGCTGATGTTAGATATTGATGCCTGTGAAGCTCCCGCGCTGAGCTTCACAGTGTGTTGTCAAGAATGGCGCTAACACATCGACTGGAGACAGTTCCATCTTTAATGTTATTTTGAAAAAGTAGAAATTAAAATGTTTTGTAGCAGCATAACGACCCACATTCCACTCTCTACTGTCTACGGTGGAGCTAAAGGTTTTAGCGCTTCTTTTGTTCATCACATGTAATAAGCACCTGTAGACATAAATGTACCTCTTTCACACATGAACAGACAGCTTGTGAAGTCTAGTGAAAAGAACAGCATCCATGCACACAGTGTATACAAATTTAATAAAATCACAACAGTTACAGTAGCCCACATTCACGTGTAAGCTCAGCTTATTTTCACAGAAACCGCGGGAAGAGGACAACAATAAAATACAAATACATTCTTAAAAAACGTTTGTAAGAAACTCAACATGTTTATGAAAAGGGACATTCCCTGTTGCACCACCGTTGAACAGTTCATAAGACACTTCACTTTTGTATGGAACGTCACTGATATGTATCGGAGTGGTCATGAGACTGGAGAGATGGACCTTATACACTAAATGGAGACAGAAAGCTTCACTGTACAAAAGCAGACAGGACTCAATAGCTTAACAGTAGCAATTTGTTCAACAGCCTCACAAAGTTGGAGCTTGAAATGTGCAAAATACAGACATCTAAATTGACAGGTACAGTACACCATGGAAACACACTTGAAGCCCGGTTTAAGCTCTGTTTTTTCTCCCCTCCCCCACTGTCACAGCAGTCAAGGACACGGATCACCGAAACACGACAAGTCACGAGTAAAGAAAACAGACAGAGCTGATGGTTTTTGGTTATACAATGTGTGTCTGGACAAAAGAAAACACTTGTTGGTCACTGACGTGTGGTCATAACTTCACACATGGGGCAGCACTGCACTTGATTGGTCAGTTCCCGGAGTCCCGTGGGTCCACAGGGCACTCCTGGCTGATGACAGGGCTGTGAATCAGATTGCTGGACAGAGACTTGGGCCTGAGCTCAGAGGTGACGTAGGCTGGCTCCTCCAGCACCGTGTGCAGAGGAGAGCACTGGCCGTCCGGAGGGCCATAGGCACTGCTGTCGGGGCCCCCCTCCCGCTCCTCTTTGGGCTCGTGCTTGGCCTCATGGTCCCGGGGAGAGGGCTCTGTCTTAGTAGGACTAGTACTGGCCTGGGTCTCCTGCAGCGGCGGGCTCAGAGCGCGCTGAGATTTGAAGTATGGTTTGACATTGGCCACTTGGATTGTACTGTCCCGCTGCTCCTTCCCAAACGTGCTGAGGGTTTTTCTGCTGCTGCTCCCGCTGCCGCAGCTGATGGTGCCATAAATCTCTGTCTCTACCATGGCATCCATTCCCACAGGGATGAAAAGGTTGGTGCGATTATCGCCGCTGTCTGCTTGGCTTCCTACCCGTAACTTTGGCATCCAGCATCTGTCAGAATGTCCCAGTGCGCGACATTCATCCGTGCAGTGGACTGATTTGTCTTGCTCTGCAAAAAAACACAAAATGACACTTGTTATTGGCCTGGGCAGCCACAGAGTAAAGATACTCAACACAAAAGATGTAAATCACATTTCAGTAATGAAACAAACAAACTCAAGGCCCCCGTCTTAAAATCCCAATGATTCTATCCCCCTCTGAAAGGAGAGATTTATTATGCATCCTCAGGACCTTGTGAATATAAGATGAACCAAGCACGTTTTCAACAAGCGAGAGAGAGAGAGTGAGAGAGAGAGTGTAAATTTAACTGTGTTGTTTTGGTTCCTCAAGAGTCTGTCCGTGCCTCTCACGTGGTTTAACCTTAATATCACCACACAGCACTGCCCACAATAAAACATACACAGAGAAGCTGCTCATTTTCTGCTATAGTTAAATCTGTGGTCAATGCATCACAACAGCGCGTTAACCTATTCATGAAACCCTGCATTCCCCTCTGCTATTCTCAACAACCTGTGTAGGTGTTTTCAGCAAAATATCATCTGGTGCAGAGGAAGCACAAGTGTTTTGCATTTGTAGCTGCTGCAGCGAGCAGCAGTTTGTGTGGAATAAACAGCAAAACAAGTGAGATGTTCACACTTTTTTGATTAGAGCGCAGAGATATAAGCCAGTTAGACTCCTCACAATATGGTACATCTCCTTCTTCCCAGTGCCAATTAAAAGCAGAGAAACACACACTTACAGCGTTTAAAAACAGGTAGTTAATGCATTATGTAGGAGAGATTAACCGAGATTTACGGCATTCTAAAAAGGTTCCCGACTGGTGAAAGGAGCCTGTCCTTGCCACCCGAGGACCTTGTTTACAGTTGAGGCGGTGAGCTTTTCTTACAGTTTGGTTAGTGAAGCAGCCACAGCACGCGGCCGAGGGAGTGGAGCTAGAATATGGCACTAATAAAGCCGTGGACAGGAGACAGGAGAGCAGCCCTCATTACTGTGTGATGGATGTATGATGACTCACTGATGCACAAGTGTACAGCTGCTGTGGACTAGGGGCTGAGTGACACCCAGAGAATATGGGACCAACAGAAACAAGAGCTCAGAGGCCAGATGTGTGTCCAGCGCAGGGGAGCAGCAGTGGGCAGAGCTGCTGGGGGGAGTTTGTGATGAAGCGTAGTACAACTTGTCAGCCAAAGAATCTTCCCAGTTTATTTGAAAGCTGTCTCATGTTAATTTTGAAATGTTACAATCTTATATGAGGTTATTGTTATGGAATTTTACAGAAAGGTTTTGGGTTGCTTTGCCCAAATCACCCTTTTGTGCATTATTGTCATATTTCTCTAGATTTAAGGTGCACCGTCTATCTTCTTTCTATGGACATGTCATTGTTCTGCCTGAAATGTTCCACAGTATGACCTTAAACAGCTCTGGCTTACATTTATTAAAGTATAGGTGGTTTTATAGCTCAAAAATACCTAGAAAAACAGGCATTTTCACTGTGGGCAGGGTTGTCTCTCCATAGATCTGAACCTGTAACTTGATCTGGTTTGATCTCCATGAAGATAAAAAGGTTTAAACCATACTGTGAAAAAATTCTGACAAAGCAATAACATCTCCATGTAGAAAAACATTTGACAGCCCCTTCGCCAGACAATGCACAATACACCTATAAGGCTATTATTACTTAAACTTAAAGATCTTAATACATTAATGGAAGTTTGGGAGCAGGACTACACCTCAAAAATATCTCAACAAACTAGCCACAATCAGTGTTCCACAATGAGACTAAGCAAAAAATTGTGGTTTATGTAATTCCCTTGGTTTATATTGTAAAAGCCATTTGTGTATGTTTTAACATTGTGAGACTGTGTTAAGTCCCTCACGTCTAGAGTAAGTGGTGTAAAGAGCTAGTGATGGGAATTCCTTGCAAAGGATTGAAAGCCTTGATGATGCACTTTGCTCAGCTTTGACCATTGTCAGGAAACCTTACACAACCACACAGACCCCTAGTGCCTTCGACCTGTAGCTCTTTATAGACTCATATTACTAATACTGTTTCAATGTTCTCTTTCACTATCCATTCACAATCACCCTTGAGCTTTTTTTTTTTATTCTCCCCAACCTCCATAACCCCTATTTCATTTTTTCCATTATTGTCAAAAAGCACACGTTCTGCACATAAAAATAGTCATTTTCTGCTTAATGTTAACAAAAAAAAGATAATAAAAAATAGATAACGTTTTGGACTCAATTTTAGACAGGCGCATGAATTAGGATATTGAAATCTTTTAAAGAAGGCCCATTGTGCTTGAGCCTGCTGTATAGTTATAATCTATGACACCCGTGGATCATTATGTTATAATTTGCATATTTTAAATGGTACTAGTGATCTAAAACGACTTCATAAAGGAAACAAGTCTGCTGATTTCCACGTTAGAAAACTTTGTTGCCCAGTGGGCACATTATCATAACAAAGAATCGTGCAGTTGTCAGCACCTCCAATAAATAGCCACAGATCAGCAAGTGAGTAGCAGATTTTTTTGTTTTCATTTTACCAAAATTACTATGTGATGCTGCTGAATCCTATGCATATCACAGATCAAGAAAATCTAATTGAGAACAAAGTAAGTACAGAGCAGTGTGTGTATAGCCAGGCTGGCACCAGATAGTGCTTCTGCTCAATTTCATTTCTCTCCAGTGACTAGGTCAGGAATCAGAATACACTAAATGGTTTGCAAGAACCCAAGAAGTTGTAGACCACGCATCGGCCAATCAGTGAAGAGCTGTGAAGCCATGACATCAAACTCAAGCAGCTGTCTGAGTCCCTTTTGTGGTACAGCACAACAGTAAACAAAGCGGTCGAGATGGATGTAGATGAAGCCATACATTCTGAGATCAAGGATTTAAAGCCGGAACAAAGAGAATGTCTGGTAATTTTTTTCAGTGGAAAAGACGTTATTGCCTTTCTTCCTATGGCATTTGGGAAAAGCTTAATATACCAGCTACCCCCCTTAATGGCGCATTACATATGTCATGACCAAATAGTAGCGATTGGTTAAATAAAAATAAAAAAACGTACCTGCCTACAGTTGAGCGAATGAATTCTAATGCTGTGAGGCCAGACGGTTTCCATGAAGTAAAACCGGTTGGTGAATTATGCTAGTGTATGTATGTCAGTGGTGTTGAAAACAAAGGCTGAGCAGTAACATGGCGTTTTGAAAATAAGTGATGGTAAATGGTAATAACTATAACATGGTTAAAAGCTGTGAAAGTCAATTCTGCATAATAGGTGTACTTTAAGTTAAAATGTATTAACAAAAACAACATTGCTCCTTTTTTCAATTATCCTACTTATTTTGTGTTTATCTGCTCCGAGATAAACACATCTATAGTTTTTCATCCCTTTAATTGCCACACCTTTTTTTCAGTCAACACAAGTGCGTACAGTTCGAGAACACACCTCAGTAATGTTATTCATTGTCAAAACCACATGTACGAAATGTCTTTTTATCTGAAAGACGCTGAAGAACATTTTTAGAGCAATTTACTATTTCTTCTTCTTTTGTAAGAAAACAACTCAAGGTATGTTCATTTCTCAAGTATTGGCACATCTCCAAAGAATACCAGGGTTTATTAGCAAGTGGTCTTAATTGTATTTAGCGCTAATAGGATAAGCTCACAGTACCAGACCCAATTCTCAGACAACATAAGACATTTTAAGATATGGTCTGTATTTGAACATGTGGTTTCTTTAGCTTGTAGCAGGTCAGATTACAGAGTGCCCAGCATAAACTAGACCTGATACTCCCTTTGCACCTTGTTAGATACAGTACTACAAAACACAGAAATACCCCCAAACAAAAGAGCGCATAAACATGTCTATTTGCTCCTGTATTGTTTTTTGTCATCAAACCTTACACTGGAAAATGTAATATGTAGGTAAGTTTAAATGACTTCAATTATGAACATTTTGCTTGATTTGAATAGATTCAGCTTGACAATTAAAATGATCTATACATTTTTTCTCGTTTTTCTTTTTAGTTTTTCTTAATTCAAGCAACATTAAATTTTGTCACCTTATTTTAAGTGCAAAAAGTTGTTGTTTTGTTTGCACTAAGTAACTTGTCGGTTGGATCTGTCACATGCTTGTTTCTATAGCGGGCAACACCAAGGCACTTCCAGGAAAAAGCAAAGTGCGCAAACATCTAATATGAACTGTTTCTATGGATATGTCTTTGTTCTTTTTGCTCTTCATGTTCAACAATATGACATTAAACTGATCTAACTTACATTTATTCAGTTACAGGTGGTTTTATAGCATAAAAATTCTTAGAAGAACGGGCAATCTGACTGTCAGCGGAGTTGCCTCTCTACAGATCTGACCTGTAACTTGGTCTGGTTTGGTCTCCATGATGATAGAAGGTTTAATGCCATACTGTGAAGAATTTCAGACAAAGCAGTCAGATCTCCATGCACAAACATATGTTGCGAACCCTCCACCAGAAAAGTTACACAATGCACCTTTAAGTGTAGCAAGACGTATGTTCATATTGTAACTACAACAAGTCTCCAGTTCCAGTTCCATCGATCTCTAATCTATAATGAATGATATACAATTTTACTTGTCAAGGGAAATTCACTCAAACCCTGATAAAACTTTATTAATCCAAGTAATCTTAACTTGGCTAGATTTCCGCTTTTACAGTGTGCATCTGTTATTCGGGGTGTTATAATAAACCAAAACGTACAAGCCAATTTCCACTTCTTATTTTCTCCAAAATCATTACGGCGCGCAATCAAAACAAGTGTGACAAAGTTATACTAAAGCACTTAATGTGTAAGGGCACAGCGCCAAATGTCAAAACTGTCTCCTGCAAATTGCTTGTAAATGACGAGCCCCTGTGCATTCCTTATATGTGCCATTTATCACCACCTAATCTTTCTCCTGCGCTTTTGACTCCTTCATTGTTAACAGATGTGTTTTCTTCCTCTGCTGTCATCAACACCAGCTTGTAATGTCATTCTTTACCTAGATATGGCACCAAATGAAATAAT